CAATTGATATAATTTATTTACAACAATTAATAAATTTATCTTATTACTTTTCACGTAAGAAAGTATTCTTACAATTTTGATCTTTAAAATAAGAAAATTATAAATTATAAATACAAGCAAAAATATAAAACAAAATATTTTAGTATTCAATTTTGTATACTAGATAATTTAAGAAATAATCAAAAACTAATTATTTTTTATTATAAAATATAAATAAGACAAATTTTAATTATAAAACTATTATATATATATATATAATAGTTTTATAAATGAATTTCTGAATAAATAATCTCATAATATAGATATTTAATTAATACTTATATAGTTTATATTTCATATATTTGAGCTTGTTAAATTTAATTACTTTAAAAATAGTATTTTTTCTTCTACTTATTAAATAAGCTCTCACTATTACTAATAGATAATATATTTACTTAGTATATAATAGTTTTAAAGCAATATAATATTGATATTTTTAGTAATTTAATTAGTATTCAATAATATAAAATATAAAATATAAAATATAAAATATAAATATATTATTATCATTTTGAGTTTTTATATATAAAAATATTTTAAAATAATAATAATAATTATATTTATAGCAATTTATTTTAAAATTATAATTAAATAATATTTATGACAATATAATAAGATTTTCTTGACAAAATAAAAATAAAAATAATAAAACTAAACTAAAAATAAGACTTAATCAAAAAAAACTTAATCAAAAATATTTTTTACTTCAAAACTAATATAATTAAACTAAAATCAAACAAAAAAACTTGAATTTTATTAATTAATAATACTTAAATTTATATATATTTTCATATTATATTAATATAGTATAATATAATAATATATAATATATAGTATAATAAATTTATATTATTATTATAAAATTATTGATTTTTTTCTAATTACGCAAAAATTTAATTATATTATAATTAATAATCTTGTTTTATATTAAAATAAATAATAAAATTAAAAATATATATATAATAAAAGTTAAATAAATATAAAAATAATAAATATTATATAATTAATAGAATAAAAATAAAAAAATAAAAAATATTATTGAAAAAAAGAAAATAAAAAAAGAAAATAAAAAGAAAAATATTATTAACTAATAATAAAATTAAATATATAATTAAGATATTATTATAAGTAATTTTACTTAATTATACTCTTTTATTTATATATTTATTATATCAAATTAATAACAATATTAATAAATATAATAATTATAAATTAATTAATTAATTAATATATAAATTTTATTAATAATAAACAAGAAATAGTTTATTAACTAGCTAAATTTTTGTAATAATCAATAATTTTTGTAATAATTAATTAATAATATTTATAATTTTATTTTATATTATATTTATATATTTAATATATTTAATATAACTCTATATTATCATATAGTATATTTTATATCTGTTGAATAGGCTCTTACTATTACTAATAAATATTATATCTATTTAATATATAATAATTCTAAAGTAATACAATACTAATATTCTTTAATTATTTAATAATATATAATAAATATAATTATAATAATATAATTTAACTATAATTATATTTTATATAATTATATTCCTTTATAGTTATCTTATTTTGCTTTTCTATTTATATATAAATATAGTAAAAAAATTTCTTTATTGTTATATCTTTCTATAGTTATCAAAGTTTACTTTTTCAAGAGTACTATAAAAAATTAATTGTAATTAATTAATAAATATTTAATTAAAGATATTTTATTTAAATTATTAATTATATTAAATCTAATTAATTATAATTTATTTTTATAGTTACAAGCTTAGATATATTTATATCTAATATTTTTCATTAATAAATATTATATTTATAAATAATTATATATTTTAAATAATTTTTATAATTTGAGTAATTTGAGTAATTTATATAAATTATACAGATTATATAAATTATATAAATTATATATACAAGCCACATATAAGAATAATATGTTCAAATTATATATTTTATATAAAAGATATATAATCTCAGATTTTTTCAATAAAAATATATAATAATTAAATAATAAATAAATAATTAAATTAAATTAAATTATTAAAAATTATTAAATAAAATAAAAGTGATTAATTATTAATAAAATAATTATATTATAGAATATTTGAATTATAATAGTATAAAGCTTTTAAAACTAAGATAATATAATTAGTATTAATAATAACAAAGATTTTTTTACTTTGTTCTTCTCACAAATAAAAAATATTAAAATATCAAAAATAACAAAAATTCAAAATAATAAAAATCAAAATACTTATAGAAAAATAAAATAAAAGATAAAATATTAAATAAAAATAAAATATTAAATAAAATATATAATAAAAAATAAAATAAAGAATAAAATAATAAGTTATTTTTGCTATAATTATTATTTTTGAATTTTTGTAATATTTTGTAAATTAAAAAATTTATGTTACTATTATAACAATATATATTAAATAAAATAAATATTTTCAATATAAAATTATAAAATTAAAATTAAAAAAATATAAAATTATAAATTGTAATAATATCAATTAACAAAAAAAAAGTTGTTATATTTATATATTATTATTATAATAGTAATAATTTTTTTCTCAATTTTATAATTTTATAGAATTATATAAATTTTTAATTTACTTAATATTTATTATTATTATAATTTATTTTTCACTTTTTGTTTATATTTTCACTTTTTATTTTACTTTTTATTTTCTTTTTTATTTAATTAATTATTTTATTTTTTATTTTAATTTTTTACTTTTTTATAGATTTTTTTGATATTTAAAATGTATAAATAAAGAGAATTTTTTATTTGTATTAATAAATTAGAAAAAATAAATTATTTTATAGTATATTTGGTCTTAATAATTGTATCTGAACAATTTATAATAATTATTTTTTATTTTATTTTTATTATAAATTAGTTTTATAATTTTATTTTATTATAATATTATTAAAAAAATTAAAAATAGTAATATGAGTATAGAAATATTAATATTATTTTTTCTTTATAATTTTTTTTTGAACACTTATTTTCTTTTTATAATTTCTTTATTTTTCTCATATACTTTATTTTTATAATTATTTTTTTAGTTATTTGATTTTTTAGTTTAGTTTTTTACTTTATATTAGTAGATATAAATATAGAATTTAAATATATTTTATTTATTTATTTAATTTTCTCTCTTAACTCTTGTTCATATTTATTAACTAATTTTATAATTAGTAAAAAAATATGTAATAATATTAATTATTATAAAATTTTAATTAAATATTTGTTTTGTATATCAAAGCAAAAAAAATCTGAGTATTTTTTAAATTATTAGTTTTTAATTCTTAAACTAAATAAATATAAGTTTTGAAATTTTATTAAAATTTTAAAAATAAATAAATTTTTATATTATCTATTTGAATTAAATTTTGAGAAAAATTACTAATATTTGAATTTTATTCAAATATTTAATATTAAAATTCCAAAGAAACTGAATTATTTTAAAAATATTTCAGTTTTTGTCTATGTAAACTTTTGTTTTTAATAGAAAATATAAATCGCTCGAAATTCCACATCCCAATATCACACGCAATCTTATCTCACATAAATAGCAGGAATCGCTAATTCACTTCGCTCTACCAAGATCAAACATAATACACAATCGCGAAAACGCGTACAAATTCTAACGCAAACTCACACAAATATTAAATTCTACAGTAAGCCGAATCTTGCAATCGAGAGGTTATTAACAGTTAATATATGAAGATATAAAATACTTAAAAAAGATCACGGTAAAGAAGGATCTTTTTCTAGTTAAAGAAGTTAGGGAACAAATCCCTGAAAAAGTTCCAATGTTGCTCTTCGAAAAAGAATGGCAAGATCTATAAACCTTTTACTGGTATTTTTAAAGAAAATGAAAAATTAACAAAAGAAAAAATTAGATCGTTTTTAGCATCTTCCCTTTCAGAATAATATTGATCATGCAATTGTCCAAGTTTTGAAGTGCGATATCACAGCTATTCTCGATAAAAATAATGAAATATGCGTTTCAGACAAACTAACCCTATATAGCTTTATTTTATCAAGCATTAAAATTGCCGAACAAAAGTTAGTGTTATCAATACAAGTAATACATTCTGAGAATGAATTACAATGAGAAAATAATAATGTGGTGTGAAAATAAAGTCGTAAATGAGAAACGCGAGAGAATCTAGATTTTGCCTAACAATATCACGAGGTTATATTCAAATATTCAGTCTAATCCCTGTCTTGAGATAGCAGACATGATGTAGATTTTCGGACCTATCTTCCTCAAGGTTAATACTCATCCCTTCCCTGAGATTTAACATAATTTTTAATCTCTTCCTTTGCTCTCTCATTTTTGCTGGTGGATACGAAAAATTTACACGTATTAGTTCCATGTCCGTAGCCTCCCCAATGATTCTCTGTCCGGATCTGGATGTAGTCAACATAATCATGAATTATATCATAGGATGTGGACCTGGGATATCTGTTTGAATCATACGAACAGTTGAACTTCAATTTTATTTGACCGATCCTAACATTTTCACGTCGATGTATAACGTCGAATGTAAAACTACCCTCTACTCCGGATAAGCTATCAGATCTACCTTGAACACCTCTGGTTGAGGATCCTTTCGGATATATCATATCCAGTGATGCAGTTTCATCCGCCATTCTCCCCCAAATGAAAGATTTGTCAACCGGTTGTAAAATATATGCATCGGTATAATTGTGGATCTCGATCTTGCAACTAACACAATTGCCCATGTTCTCTCGGCAGGCAAAGTTTATCGGGAATTTTGGAGTTTAAAAACGTGGATTCAAACCCAGATAATCGAAGATAGTATTTTAGAGTCTGAAGGTGAACGAAGTGCTGTATATAAATGCGTTAAAATTTGTTTGTAATCTCCGAAATCAATTAACAAGTGATTATCGTTATGTATACTCGGAATTTTGCTTTACGTATGTAATTCGAAGTCTCTAGAACATCTAGATGGTATACGTATTCCCCGCGTGCTTTAAAAAACCTGACTAGACAATTTCACATGCTGTCAAGTTCAGTGTTGTATATGTCACACGTCCAAATGTCAAGTTTCCTTTTTCGGAATGTTCACACCAACCAAATCACTCGATTTTACCAAAAAGGCAACCTGGACGTCCTTGGACGTGTAATGATGACAACACTGAACTGTCAGGTTATCTGCGTGACATGTCAGCAAAAACAGTGGAAAATCAACATAGAAGTTCGTAGAACATGCGTAACTGTCCAACGTGCCACATTACGCAAAGCTGTTAATTTAGTAACAAAATTTTTGAAGAAATTGCACCGCGAATAATGTTTTACTCACTTGCAGTCAAGATAATTGGTTTTACTAAAAAGAAATTGGACTAAATCAAGATTTAATTTTCTACAGGGTAGCGGTAGGGTACTTTATGCAGTGAATTACGGTATTACTTCCTGTAATTCCTCTAACTTCTCTTTTAGTTTATTGCCTTGGAAAATAACATGTTTTTTAAACGGGGTATTTCTCTCTATAATTCCTAATCTAAACATCTTCACCGTCTCTTTCGTTAGGGTCAACTAACTTTTTATCTAGTGGCTTTGTTCTGCAAAAGATAAGCATTATTTTTTTCGCTATATTTAGGCTGGGAAATGCCTTTATTTTGCACATGTTTTTGCGATATCGATATGAACAAACGAAATGAAACTTGAAAAGGTTATAAGAGGGAAAACCCCAACAATCTCTATCAATTTTCATATCAAAAACCCCAAGTTATGGGGGAGTCGAAATTTTAGAGATTGCAGAGATCATCATTGCGTTAACCAACTTTGCACCAGAAACTATCAAGAAGTGTTTAATTACATATGATAATGCTTTTTATGGAAGCAATATGTATTTCGCAAGTTTTATTACTTGGTTGTCGTCTTTGAGGCATTTTTCTTTGTAAAATAAAATAATGACAGATGTGTAGACATGATCTTGATAATAAATATAAGTACTGTTATAGGTTAGCGTTAGGGGTCAATTATATGCTAATATGTACGTAACTTGGGTGGGAGAAATGAGTTAGACTAAGATATTTTTATTAATGTTTCTAGAGTCCCGTGCCAATATCTTCAGATATTTTTGTATTCCATTGTCGTCCACGTATTCACAAACGTTAATAACAACCACTTTTTCAGGACCAAAAGCATAAACCCTTCCAATTGCAATCGTTACGGTTGTTAAAATAATTATCTCGATTTTTCTGGATCAAAAGTGGCAACCCTCTTTACAACAATGGAAAAGGCACTATAGAAATTATTGTATTTTTAAGACTTTTTAATTTTATTACCAATTCTCTCTTTTTAATCGCTCTTTCACGCTCTCATATACATTTTTTTGTTTTCATATTATAGGAAGAAATTATTGAACAAATTACAGTGTAAATTTTTTTATTACAAGTACGTAAATAAAAAACAATGTGTTTCCAAAAAAAAATTGTGTTACCAGTGTAACACGCCCTTCATTTTACCCCGTAAAAACATGTAGATTAGATCTTGAATTGTGTAATGTTTGGGTTGGTTTTTTATCCGTTTTTGTTGTTTTTAAGCATTTTATTAGATTGGAATATATCGTTAAATCCATTTGGTTGAGTTTGGATGTTCTCAATTGAATTCGCTGAGGCTTGGATGCCTATACAGTCAGTTTATTATCTTTTTTTAAAAATATTATCATCCTATTCGTCAGAGGATATCCACGTTCTTGTTCTTTTTCCGGAGCAATAGATAATCAGGAAGGTACAGTGACTCACTAATGTTACGGAATACCGAAAAAAAAATGGCGAGATTCGAATTAATAAATAAATCTTTATCATTGCTTGTTATAAATTCATTTGAAGAACACAAAACTGAATCAGTATGCTAAAAATATAATGCTAGTAATACATACATTACATTTATTCCTAGAGGTTTGATATCTATAGTACAATCTTTGGATGTTTGTATTAACAAATAATTCAAAGACAGATTAAGAGAAAAATGGCATTTGTGAATGAGTAAAAAGGTGAAAATTTTAAAATCACCTGTATATCGATATGCTTTGATTTGGCAATGGATAGGGTTGTTAATGGAGTGGAGTGGCGCGGAGTGGAGTGAACTGGATTCATATTATAGTGGAGCAAGGGGTCAATCAAATTGAAACCACTCCAGTTTCATTGTTGCTCCAATACTGCTCCAGCTACTCCGGGTTACTCCAGATCACTCCATGTGGAGTATAGAGTGGTTTGGTTTATATAATTATGACTCCAGAGCGGAGTGAAATTTAGAAATTACATAGTAACCCAGAGCTAACCCGGAGTGTGCTGCTCTATTAACAACCCTACCAATGGATTTTAGAGATATAAGATAGTATTCCTATAGAAATGATTATTAAATGATTTAAAAAATGTTGTATTTCTAATCCATTGAATGGAACTGAAGATGATTTATTATAAAATTCTGATACAGAAATTAGTGAATTAGATAAAAATGAAGATTTAGCTGAGATAATTAATGAAGATTGTATTGAAGCTCTGTCGGGTTTGAGGTCAACTCGAGCTGATAATTTCAGGTTTGATCCGAAAATCGTAAAATAGTTTTTCGTTAATAACTTTTATTTTTGCTAAGACACTTGTATGTTGTGTCTTAAATAGAGTTGTTTGGAATGTAATTGTGTATATATCCACAAATTTTCGTTTAATTTGAATTAATATTGAATGAGAAATAACGATTTTTAGGTGTGCGGTCCGGTCGGGTCACGGATTAGACCCGACCCGATTGGAGCACTAGATACGTAGTATGACTGCTGAAGAATTAGAAAATGAATAATATATAAATTTGATATTAATTTTTTAAAATTTAAAAAGAACTTTGAAACCTAAAGATGACGGGTTGCTTATTTTCGGGACTTTACGGTACAATGATTATACATGTATATCAAAATTTTATTATGGGTCAAAATTTGTTTTTGTCATTAAATTAGAATAATAGAAAAATAATTATTTGATTTTTTCATATGTATATACACAGTCAATCTTGATACAAGAAACCCCACAGGTCCCATCTTATTTAACCTATGGAAATTGTTGCTCATAGAGTGATATTTTAGCACAATTCACCATACTATTTGGCTAAGAAAAAGTTTAGTTTACCCGGATAATATTAAGAAAACTGATATGTCATTCCGGTGACAATTATTTCACAAATTAGAACTCAAATTAAATTGTTTACTATGATCTATATACTAGCAATAAGTTTGAAGGAAAACTCGACTCGTAGTGCGACAAAAAGGTTTAGATTTTAAAAGTTGGTACTAATACTATTCGGAGTCCAGGTTTTCTTATCGAGGTTGACTATCTATAACCCTAAAATTAAAGATAAAAGGACTCAAAATAATCTATGAAACAGATATAAAGTACTTTGTTAAATTTATAATAATCATTCTGAGAGTCATAATTTTGCGCCCCTAGTTATGATACACACCCCTACAGTATATTAACCGGAAATTTCAAAAATGAATCTGTCACTTTGGAACCCGATATTTCGACATCCAGTGATCCCATTCGAACAAAGAT